AGCATGCAGGGGGTCAGACCAGATGATCATAATGGTCCCTTCTGACCCTAAAGTCTATGAGTCTATGAGTGAGAATAGAAGCGCAACTTCTGAACGAGGAGTGTCCCACAGGTTCCATGGGGGTCACTGGGCATAAGGGTAAGGCATAGGTGACCAGTGGGCACCAGGCCAGGGGCCCCTGTCCTGACTGCAGGAAGAGTGCCTATCTCTGTATCCATGCTGCTACAAGAACAGAACAGTTCCCAGTGTAGGCCAAGTGATTGGAGCCAGACCCAAAGTGCAAGCAACCGGTCCAATCATCCAAAGCAAGGGAGGAACCTGTGCCAACAGTGAAAACGGCCCAGCCAGCAGTCAGTATGCCACCATTGTCTCCAGTGCTGGGAGTGGCATCAGTCCCAAAATCAGCAGCAGTCCCAAAGCAGCAGACAGTGCAGAGGTGGAGGGCAGGGAATGCCACCACAATAATATTAGTAGCATGACATGCAGCGGTGCTAAGGAGTTTTCTGGTGCCAATGAGATCCATTGTGCTGAGCCCGGCACTAGACTCAGTTCCACAGTTGGTGGTAAGGCAACATCAGGATGCAGTACCAACAGACCCAAAGGTTCAGCAGCCTGTCCGGACAGCGAAGCTGTGGATGACATAGCCTTGGAGAAGTCCTGAACCAAAGCAGAGCTCGGGATGGAAAGGCACAGGAGGTCCAACATCGCTGCCACCTGATATGGACACCGTCAATGTCAGCACCGGACTCAACGGACGCCCTGGTCCCGGAACCAGAGTCAGCAATACGGGGCCTCTCACATCCCCATGTGGTACTAGGGAGTGGTTGAACAGATGCTCCATCCCGCGTGTCAGCAGTAGCCATACTTTTCCTGGAGGAGTAAGAAGAGTCTCCTTAAGATCTGGAGTGGTCATGCTTGGTCTTGAGATCTTTTCTTTGGCGCATTCAAAGGAGAGTGGTTTCTACACCTCTTTGGAGAGGCAGTGGCTCCAGAGCATGAGCCGGTACCACTCACTGATGGCAACCTCTGATCTGACATAGGCCTTGGTACTGAAACAGGCCTCGTGGCCTGCTTGAGATGGCTCTGCTTCAGGCAAAAGTCTCTAGCCACTTGAGTCCATTTTGTGAACAATTTACAAAATTGAAAACCACTCTTTGACGTGAGCCTCGCCTAAGCAGAGCAAGCACCTTGTGTGAGGGTCGTTGTTGGGGATTTCCCACACCCACACAAAACAGACGTTTAAATCCTGGTGAGGGTATCACCAGGGAAAACACTTTACTAAGCCAGCTAACGCTAACACTAATACTAAGGGTACCAACTAACTATATGCAACTAAGTCAAAGGATGAGGAATTGTGAGGTTAAGAACTACACAGCACTCCCATTCCAGCCAGGGACAGACGGTAAGAACGAACTAAGGGGGGGTCGAGATGGTGCCACATCATGTAGCATGGGGAACGGCTATGGCCACAAGGTGCAAGTGCTGCCCCCTCTTAGTACTGCTAGGCAAAATTCTGCAGCTCGGACGTGCTAGGTGCATACATGGCTAAATCTACTCAAAGAACCAGTCTGCACCATAAACTGGAACATTCACCACTCTGCTCCAATTTTTACCAGTGTTAGGAGAGCAAGCCTTCATGTAGGCTTCAAGAAAAGTCTACTTCTGACTTCTAGAAGATAAATAAAAAGTTGCCATTTTCTTATAAAAATTTTCTACTTACTTTTAAAGATGTGATTATATATTTCTGAGTAAGCAAAAAAAAAATATTGAGACTAATAAAGGATAGCTAATACCACCTGTTTAACTTTTATATGGTTTAAATCAGTGGTTCTCAAACTTTTATACTGGTGACCCCTTTCACATAGCAAACCTATGAGTGCGACCCCCTAATAAATTAAAAACACTTTTTAATATATTTAACACCATTATAAATGCTAGAGGCAAAGTGGGGTTTGGGGTGGAGGCTGACAGCTCGCGACCCCCCATGTAATAACCTTGCAACTCCCGAGGGGTCCCGACCCCTAGTTTGAGAACCCCTGGTTTAAATGGTCTGGATCGTTATGTTGCAGACTCTACACCTCTTAAGACATCCAACATTCCTGTTTCTCGAGACACACACACACACACATCATAAATCAAGAGAATTTCATTTTGCAAATTTTCAAAACAAGGCCTTATCTCAGTAAATCAAAAAGGCTCGAGTCCAGTACACAACCTGGCTATATAGGCATGAAATCGATACCACCTCCAGCAGATAACCGAAATAAAACTGGCTGAACAATCTAGCCTTACCTCATGCTGGGAACTGCATGGTAACCCAATCTGAACTCCAAGCTATCTTTATCCAGGCATTGTTGGATCAGCTTTTCCCCAACAGCATGCATGTGTTCTAGTAATTCAAGATGCTCTTTTGTTACTGATTTTAGACTGGAGATGGAGTCCCACGGTAAGATTAGCCAGTGGTAACGAGCTTTGGGATATTTATCCTTAATGACTACAACCCTTTCATCTTTATAAACCTAGTAGAGAGAGAGAGAAAAATCAAGGTTATTTACCATTGACTGGGGTTTCCTGGAACATCATTAATAAAAATAATCAACTTGAATTATCCAAATATTTGGCTTCACTAATCCACACTTATATGCTCCATGCTAGTGTCGCAGAACCATTCAAAAGCAGTTAGTATGGTATGGGGCCAATGTACATACAGATGTACAGAGTGCATCTCTGAAACAAGGCAGGGCTAAACTTACTCCTTATTTCCAAAGCAGGGATGGAGGAAGGGTGAGTATGGATCTGTGGAGAAAATACATTTGGAGCTCTCCAGTGACTGTTAAGTACACTATTTTTCCCCCCATCATAAACATACCTCCAGAGATCCACATTGATTACGAAGCAATAAACACTTATCTGAGAGACAGTGGTGGAAAGAGTCTTGAGATTTCTATTTGACTATATAAGTCACCTATAAGCCATACTCAACACATTTTACTACAACCGGTGAAGTATTTGGATCAATATATCCCACCCTCTGGGCACTTCTCTGCAGGTAGCATAACCAAGATAATTTACAAAAACTTGCATTTGCAGTGAGATAACAAACAGGCCTTTCCATATCTGGTTTATAGATCTATAAATGCCAAGGCCCGAAGGGAGCACTATGAGCATCTAGTCTGACCTCCTGTATAACACAGGCCAGAGAACTGCCCCACAATAATTCCTTTGAACTAGAACGGATCTTTTAGAGAAACATCCAATCTTGATTTATGCAGATTGGCCACCTAAGGTAAGGAGCCACTAGGCTGCAGCAGACGCGCTCAGAGACTGCATTCAGCAAACGTTCTAGGAGGAGACTAATGACCACCTTGCTTTAACAGAAATAATGAAGAGGCAAAAAGCTGTCAATGCCTTTGGTGCTCACTTACCCAGCTAAGGTGATTTCACCCAGAAAGCCACTTGCAAGGAGAGGATGTAGAAAACATATCCCTAACTCCCTGAAGTCTCTATATTTCCTGAGGTCAGACTGAGATCGCTTGGCTGCGTGGGACACACTTCTGGAGGGTGAAGGAATCCTTTCATCAAACATTTCAGCAGAGGATGCTCCAACAGAAATTTGCCATTTATTGCTTGTCAAACAGAAAGCAAGCACCACAATGTTGTGCAGAGGCTTGTATTTTTAGATGTCCAAAGCAGGTGAGAGATTTAAAAAGATGCATTCAAAGAAGTGGGCTGTAGCCCACAAAAGCTTATGCGCAAATAAATTTGTTAGTCTCTAAGGTGCCACAAGTACTCCTGTATCAAAGGGGTAACCGTGTTAGTCTGGATCTGTAAAAGCAGCAGAGTCCTGTGGCACCTTATAGACTAACAGACCTATAGAAGCATGAGCTTTCATGGGTGAATACCCATTTCTTCAGATGCATGTAGTGGAAATTTCCAGGGACAGGTATAAATATGCAAGCAAGAATGAATAAGGCTAGAGATAATGAAGTTAGTTTAATCAGGGAGGATGAGGCCCTCTTCTAGCAGTTGAGGCGTGAACACCAAGGGAGGAGAAACTGCTATTGTAGTTGGCTAGCCATTCACAGTCTGTTTAATCCTGAGCTGATGGTGTCAAATTTGCAGATGAACTGAACCGGTGATGTTGTAGCTGATCTGGTTAGGTCCTGTGATGGTGGTGTTGGTGTAGATATGTGGGCAGAGTTGGCATCGAGGTTTGTTGCATAGATTGGTTCCTGAGTTAGAGTTGTTATGGTGCAGTGTGTGGTTGCTGGTGAGAATATGCTTAAGGTTGGCAGGTTGTCTGTGGGCAAGGACTGGCCTGCCTCCCAAGGTCTGTGAAAGAGAGGGATCATTGTCCAGGATAGTTTGTAGATCACTGATGATACGTTGGAGAGGTTTTAGCTGGGGACTGTATGTGATGGCCAGTGGAGTTCTATTGGTTTCTTTCTTGGGCTTGTCTTGCAGTAGGAGGCTTCTGGGTACACGTCTGGCTCTG